TTTAGAAATTGCATGACCTCAATAAAGGCATAGAGATTTTTATTGGCCCATAAGGCAGAATACTGAAGATAAAATGATCTTCTACCTCCAAAATGTGATGTTACTATTCTGCATAAATGATACAATCTCTCTACTGGACGTTTTTAGAAAAACATGAGAAACCCTGTGCTTGAAAATTTGCAGAAGATGTGTGACTGTTTAAAAAATATGTTTTTATTGATTTTTTAGAGAGAGAGAGGAAGGGAGAGAGAGCTAGAAACACCAATGTGAGAGAGAGATATTAATTGGCTGCCTCCTGCATGCCCACCTTGGGGATCGAGCCTACAACCTGGGCATGTGCCCTGACCAGGAATCAAACCCAGGACCCTCTCAGTCCATGGGACAACACTCAATCCACTGAGCCACACAGGCTGGACAGATGTGTGACTGTATAATGGCCTGATCCATTCTTCCTGGTTACACCACCACTCTAAGGATCAGCATTGGAGGGAATGCTGTTTAGTTCTTTGGTGAGTTTATAGACTGAGCAACATGAATGGTGGGTACACAGGAGAAGGGGCTATGCTTTATACCTTTAGTTATTACTCTGAACTGGGGGTTGGAGGGAAGTTAACAGGTGCAGAATAGGAATTGTGAAAATAATGCAGGTACTATTTAGTAAATCCCCTCCCACATCATGGCTTGAAAAAATGATGAGTAACCTGAAGAGATACAATTTTTTATGCAGATTTTGGAATACTAAGTGATGCAATCATATGCACAGAAATGATCATGCCTTGGCATAGGTATAGTACTTCTTCAGAATTCCAAAGCTCCTTTGACTGTCTTTTGTTCATGTTTACATATAACCTGCCTACACTGGCTAACCGAAACATCCAGAACAGATAAACACAATTAACGATTTAACCATGCCAACCCATAACTATCTTGCCTGGGTATTTTATTTCTAAGTCTAAAATGTTTTAAAGGTAGTTGTGTGTATGTGAAGTCTAAAATGTTTTAAAGGTAGTGGTGTGTGTGTGTGTGTGTGTTGAAGAGGCAAATTAATTGTGTAAACAAGGCAAGAGAACAAGAAACATACAAGCACCACTGTTAGAAGGAAAGGTATAGGTTAACCTGGGCTCAAATAACTTCCTTCTAACCCATCAGTAGCACATTATCTAAGATTCTAAAGTGCTAAATTGGTCAGATGAGAGATGTGCTAAGATGTAAGATCCTCTGAACAATAAAGAAAGAAAATTGAAGTGAAAATTGCAATCTCCACCCACAAGAGACTTAAGTGAGATGAAGTGAAAATGTTTACAATGGAGGAAGAGAGAGAAAATGTGAAGAGGTTGATATTTAATAATAAAGATAACAATGGAGACGTAGAAAGGAAAATGATGATGGGGGGAAAGGGCTAGGAAAGGCAAAAATCATAAAGCTCCCCAGGGATCTGGGCCTGGGGGGTGGGGGGGGGTACTTAGAGGAGCTTATCAGAGTCAGCAGCAAACCAAACCCCGAGTAGACAATTGGTGTCAAGACAGCAGCAGCAGATGTTTTTCTGGAAAAATGGTGGAATGACAGTCACAGGAAAATATTGTGACCTGCAAACAAGAGCTGTGTTTCATCGACAGCTGGACAAGAATGTACACAAACAGACACGGGGGAAACAGAGTGGCTGTGTCCAAAGGCTGAGGTTTGGTAGATGGGGAGGGAAGAGGGAGGGAGACAGAGACAAAAGGATGCTAAAAACATGTCTCTATCAGTTGGGAGAAATAAAACAAGAACAAAGAATGGAAAATAATTCCCACTGTGTGCTTAAAGGTATAAGGTCTGCAGTCAGAATGCTTGGGTTCAGATCCTTGCTGTTACTTTCTAGCTGTGTGACCGTGGATAAGTTACTTATAGCCTCTTTGGTCTTCAGTGTCCTCACCTGTAAAGTGGGAATAGGAGTACCATCTCATGGGATTGTTGCGGAGATTGAATGAGTTAACATGAGTAAAAAAACTTAGAATATTGCCTGGTCTACGGGAAACATTTAAAATGTTAGCAACTATACCGTGATATCACACGATCAGCTTCTGTGAGTGGCCCTGAGCTGTGTAGATTGCTTTCGGCATGTTCTCTCATCCTTCCAGGTTATATATAAAACAAGTTTATGATGGTTGGGGAGAATATGTATTGTCACCACATCAAAATTATAATTTTTCTCCTTAAGAGAAGTTTGCAGGGTGGTTTAAATGTGGGTTAAGCTGAGGACAATGGTAACATTTTATGAGGTTTACAACTGCTTTGGACAAGTCACTTACTCCCACACATTGAGCCTCAGTTTTTCTATCTGTAAAATGAGGCTATTACATATACAGTGCATAAGGTTTTTGTGAGATCAACTGTGAAAGGATCTAGAACAGTACGTTTTGATGTAAGTTTGCTGAGAGTGAATCTACCCTGTGATGTTGGTGACGGGTGATAGGTCTGAAATGCTCTCATCTAGGGAGGGAGGCCATTTTCACAGCTGCAAGGAGAGAAACTTTGGGTTTAGCTCTTCTTTTCAGAGCCTTGAAAAACTGATCTTTTAGGTCATCAAGAAAACTGACAGTTATACTTCTGCTTATCACAGGTGTAAACAGAAGAAAATGACAGCCTCAGTCTCTAAAACGGGTTGGTGGTGATGGACATTTTTAATTCCCATTTTAACTACCATTTATGGCTTTTTTTCTCTCTCTCTAAAGGAAAGGGTGCGAAGGAAAAAGAGAAAAAGAAAGCAGGTAATAGTTTATATCTAACGGCTCCGATGCTAATATTATAGGAAATGTCTGCCTTCCTCCTACCCGGGACACAGGCTGGCTTGCTGGTGGGCTTCCGGCTATGGCTCTGACCACCTTGCTGGGAAGCAGATACGTGTTTTGTTTTGTTTTTTTTTTTTATTGGTTAGACCTCTGGATGAATTTGGTTGAGGACATGCTCTCCAAAGAGCCTCCTGGGAAGAGCTTCTCTCCACAGTCCAGACCTCTTAGTCCTATAGGCCTCATTATTTAATAGGCTCTGTCCAATCTGCTTTCTCTGGAGCTCCAGGAAAATAAAAGGCAAGGAACAGAATAGGGTGATTTTGCACCTTCTTCCCAAGAACATTCAGGACTTTGTCACCACCAAGAGCAGAAAACAAGCTACCAATCTTTACCTCCATTCTTAGAAAACACACCTTCAAGAAGAAAGGAGCACCCAGCCAGCTGACCACAGGGACAAGTCCGAACTGTGGCCTTCTTCAGAAATCCTTTCCTCCTCTTCTTTCCCATCTGCTCTGCCAGGGCTAACTAGAAAGTCCCCAGGGCTATTTCCAATATATGTCTTACAATGTCCATGCTCCCTCCCCAGTAATCATTTATTGGGAAGAGGTTTTATGATACAAATTTGATAATCTCCCAGGCACACTGGCACTGTTCTAGTTGAAGTTGTAAGCCCCTAAAATTCAAGCCCTTTGTCTTTCTGAAGGCCACAAGGTTTAAAAAGATACCATTGTCCTCCCTAACACCCACTACATTGTCACCAGGGACTGATTAAACAGAGTCCTGAATCGAAACAGTGCGGATTTTGTCTAGGTCCTTTTCAGGCCTGACAATGCCCTTTTCAGCTCCCAAGACAAAAGGAGGTTTAAGGATCGAGATTCTTCTAAGATAACCACATCCATATGGAAGGCAAGGTGGCCAGCAGCTGAAGCCCAAACACCCCAAATCCCTTCCCCCTCTGCCCTCCTCTCTCCCCCCATTCCCCCAAATCTCAGGTGATAACACCAGCTAAACCACCCTTCCTCTTTCCTCCTGGAACAGGAGGGGCCCCAAACAGGCAACTGATAGACCTCACTGAGTCCTTGCTCTGTTCCCTGGATCTGATGCCCCAAACTGCTGCTCAGCTTCCTGCAGTGGGTGCCAGGCAGAGAGGCCCTCGCTTCCTCTCCCAAGAGTTACCACTGCATAGGAGGCCCTGCTGCTCCATTTACCGAGGCAAAGAGCAGTTGTGGGGGGCTGGGGGTGGGGTGAGTCACTAGATCCGCCAGTCTCGTATGCAGTGGGACCGCTCCCCAAACTGGTCCTCCCTCAACTAGCATCCCTAAGGTGAGTCATTCCCCACCACTCTTTGGTTTCTTCACCACGACACCACGACACCACGACACCACGGCCAGGTGTAGCACCCAAAAGAGGCAGGAATCACAGCTGCCAGGTGAAGCACTCCAAGGATTAACTGGGGGTTGCAGGTTCTCTTGGTGCTCTTTGGATCCCTGAGCCCTGGCTGCCGCAATCCAGAAACTGACTGCTTGCTGCCAGGCCGGGGCTGCTGAGGCGCAGAACTCTAGGCCCCCGCCCCAACAGCACATCTCCCGAGAATCCTTACGGAGAAGCTCATGGCCTGTCTTGGCCGTGGCCCACGGGATTGATTTTTGGTGTTTGAAATGCCAGTAGCTCCAGGAACCCAGCGAGGCCTCCACATCCCCTCTGGCCAGAACCACCTCCCACTAACAGGGACCCCAGAGTTGTTACTGCTTCCTTTCTCTCCCCACCACCCTCCATATCTTCCTAAAGCCTTGTGAGGACTTTGACCCAACTCGGGGTGGGCCTTAATTCACCTGGTCACGGAAAAACACAGCTCCCACTTACGTTCCCGGCAGGTGTGCAAGGGGACCTAACACTGCACATTTTATTCTAGTACCACAAAGAGGAAAAATATTCTATTTCTTTAAAAAATAAGTTGTTTCCTATACATATAAGGTTCAAGCAATAAAATATAGCTCTGAGGCTGGCGGTAGAGGGAAGAGGAGATGGGGGCCCGGTGGAATCTTGGTGCAAGTTCCCTACGCGCTGGCTGGTGAGAGCTAGGCACCGGACACCACCGCCGAAAGATTTTGAGCCAGCAGGGTAGCGAAGCCCCGGGAGCGCTCCAGGTCTCCGGCTCCAGCCCTACTCCGGCCGCAGAGCGCACTACAAAGTCTGGGGTAGCTCCAGTGCCCGTGCTCCGCAGCTGTCTCACCAATTCCAAGAGACCAGGGCGGGGGGCGCTAAGTGCTGGTAGGCGGGGAAGAGGCCCAGCGCCGAGCCGGGCCCAAAGGCGGCGTAGCCGGGCAGAGGGCAGGCGGCGGCCGGGGGCGCGCCGTTTTTGTCTTGGGTGACGATGCCCACGTCGCCGCTGCCTCCGCCGCACGGCTGCCCTTCGCGCACCAGCACCGGCACCACCACGTGGCGCAGCAGGCCGGGCGCGGCGCTCAGCTCCGCAGCGACTGCCAAGTCGGGCGACTCCACCGCTCCCGGCGCGCGCGTGCGCTTCAGCTTGTAGCGATGATTCTGGAACCAGATTTTGACCTGCGTGGGAGTGAGGCGCAGGAGGCGCGCCAGCTGCTCGCGCTCGGGCGCAGACAAGTAGCGCTGCTGCCGGAAGCGCCGCTCCAACTCCAGCGTCTGCGCTTTTGAGAACAACACCCGCCGCTTCTTCCTCTTCTCCGCGTCAGAGCTCGGGGACGCTGGCAGAGCCGGCGGCCGCTGCGACGAGGTGGGCGGGCTGGTCTCTGGGCTGCTCTCGTCCGAGGCTAGGGACAGCAAGGGGGACACGGCCTGGTGAAGCTCGCTGTGCGCGCCGGCTGCGTTTCGCGCGCGGGCCCTGAGCCACCGTCTGGAGGGTACACCATTCTCCCGTGGCTTTTGGGGTGAAGCCATTTCCTTCCCTGGGCCCACATCTGAGCACCCACCCCTCCGAATTCAGGGACCTTTAACGCCACAACCTGAGACCGAGTCCCCAAAAGAAACCCATCTGGGACTTTTTTTTTTTTAAAACAAGTCCACACTGGTCGCCGGGCTGGAAGAAGAATTTACCGCAAGCCGGCTCACCAACACGGGCCACCTCCAGGTCGAGTGCACTCGTTTGCTGAGGTTTGCAAAACCCTGAATCCAGTAGAGCTAAATTCGCGGACTCTGCCCATCCCGCACCGAGGACTGGAGAACGTGGTCGTGTTTTCAGGCACTTAAGGGTCTCGTCTTAAATATTTAAACATGTTGACCCCTAGAAACAGAACCCCAAGTACCTGGCGTTAGTGCCAGGCGCAGGAATCTGCTCTCAGAATATTCCGATTGAGGGATGCGTGGTTTAGGAGTCTGAGAACAGAGCCTACGGTTTCAACACGGAGGAAATCCAGCCCCGCGTGGGCCGGGCGCTGGGTGCTGTTCACCCCGTCCACCCCCGCAGCCGACCTCCGCTCACTCACACGCGTAGTGGCCGCTCTCGGATTCCAGCCAGGTGGGGCAGGGGCCGGGGCCGGGACCCACGTCGCGCAGCTCGGGTCCCCGACTCCGCAGGTGCTGCGCGTCCGGCTCTGGTAAATCCAGGAGCCTTCGCACGGTGAAGCTGAGGCGTCCAGCGGTGGTCATGGCGGAGGAGGGGAAGGAGGCGAGGGGCAGGTCAGGCTGGGAACCAAGGGGCGGCCCAGGACGCCGCTCCTACTGGTGGGTGTGAGAGGCGCACGCCATGCGCTGGCTGCCTATCTTATTAGCGCGCTTACAGCGGAATCCCTGCCTATATAAACAGCTCTTCCCGCCCGGGATGCTTTGAAAGGCGAGGTCCGCGTCTCCAGGGTGTTAAGTACCTGAATGAGTGCTGGACCAAAGCCCCGGCAAGCCCGGAAGGTGCCACCTCCGCCCCCTGCCCCGCCCCGTCCTCCGCCCCTCGGCGCCCCGTTACCTCCCAGAGGCAGCAGGAAGCAACCCTCGGCATTAGCAATTCTGTCTGATTAGCCCGAAGTGGGGACAGATAATGGGGATTGTTACCGATGAATAACATCTTGGGTGGCGAGCGGTGGCAACCACCCGCCTGCCCATCCCCAGCTTCCTACTCTCCTGGCTGTCACAGGGCCTGGCCCCACGGGAGCGCCGGGATGGCTGGGGGCGGTAAGGGTAGTTTTATGAGCATCCAGGAATTTATTTCCTGTTTGTTTATTCATCTAGCTTGTTTGCTAGAATGTTCGTTTCCCGCAATTATCCAGAAAGTGATTTACAGGCCGGCGTTAAAACTGGCACACGCTCTTTCTCTTTTTGGTTGGGTTCCTCTAAGGACTCAACGGCGGCGATAAGTTTAGTTTCAGGAGGGAACAGAGGAGTGGCCTAGCTTCTCTGGCCTCTGGGCCAAGGGTTTTAAAGGCCACTAGGACCCTCCCCATACCCCAAAGTTCCCCCACAACTTCAGGGGTGCAGGGATGGCGCTAGCAGCATCCGAGGAGCCCTAACTCACCCCCTTTTCCCCATACTGGCCAAGCAGTTCATTCCCAAGTGCCAGACTCCTTGGTCCAGCCGCACACAGTGAGCCCAGACCTGCTTCAGAGTTCACCGGCGGCGGTGTTTCGCAGGGCGGCCTACGAGGGCTTTGCGGCCTCTTTGGCATCGCTAGAACCTCTGGCACCACCTGTTTGCCAGGGCTGGGTGGTCTTAATTTCCAGCCCAGCGCCCAGAACCTGGCCTCTGCCCAAGAGCAAGCCTCCAGTCGAGGACCCCGGCTCCACTGCGGCTGCTGGGGCTGGTCAGGTAATGGATGCATCGGGAGAATTAGATGGGCAGAAAACAGCCTGCCTGGGGTTTCTTCGAGATCTTCTAGTCCCCACAACCCAACCCAAGGAAATGGTCAATGTAGAAGGCTCAGAGAGGGCCGGAATGGACACATTTTGGATGTATCCAAATGGATGACTTAGTTCGGACAAGTCTATTGCTCAGGGAATGCACTTTCAGAGGTCTCTCCTCTGGCAGCCGGTGGTTTGGGATTTTAGTTGTTAAATTTAGTGAGGGGCGTGGTGCTTGGGTAGCGGGGTCCACCTGAGCTGAACTAGGACCTGGCTCCCCTGCAGTTGCCACAGCGCCGCTGGGCCTGACGCACCCTCCTCGGCAGCCTCCCTGTCAAGCGTGCCCAAAGCTCCCGGGGCTGCGCAGCGCGCTGGGTGGTCGGGCGGAGGCAACCCCAATACAGGCCAACTGCTAGGCCTCGGACAAAGGGGAAATGGAGCTCGACGCCCCGGACCTGTTGGGAGCATTTGTTCCAGTCAAGATTTTGCATTTGTTCAGTCCGAAATAATGCGTGATTGACGCCTGCTCACAATGCACTTTAGCGGGCCGGGATAAATCAGAGCTTGTCCTGTGTTGTCATGGTTTTCAATGGGGTTCAATGGGATTGGGAGCACGATCAACTCTGCTGGCCGTCTCTCCGCGGCCCCTGCAATAGATTTATTAGTTATGTCTTTTTAAATAAGATTAAATTGAAATGACTTGGCTGTCCTCTCTGGAATGGGGAGGAGAAGGGAACTGTGGGTAGGCTGTTGGGGTGGGGCTGGGCGGGGATAGGGGTGCCTGGCGGAAGCTGGAAATACTGAGCTCACAGCGCCCCAGCACCTAAGTTCCAGCGTCCTGAAGGTTGGCCCAGGGCCTTGTGGATTTCTCTTGGCTAGAGCTCCAGGCCTGGCAACTTCTGCCAGCCCATCTCTTGAGAGAGATGGAGGGAGGGCACTGACAAAGGCTGTCCTAGGGAAGCATTAGGACAGACTCCGATTCGGGTCTGAACATCCCGAAGCAGCTGTGGCCTGGGAGTGCGTTGGCACCCAGCTCTGTCCCTAACTAGCTCTAATCACCTCCTCAATCTGAGCCTCTTTTTTTTTTTTTTTCCAATATTTTGTTCAGATAGAGTGGGAGGGAGAGAGAGAAACATCGACGTGAAAGGGACACATTGAGTGGTCGCCACCCACACAACCCAACCAGGGCCTGGAACCGAGATACGTGCCCTTAGCGGAACCGAACCCGGGTCTCTCAGGACCGCAGGCCAATGCTCTAACCGCTTAACCATACCGGCCAGGGCTGAGCCTCTTTTATGTCTCATCTGAAAGAGAGGAGATCAGATTGGATAACTTCTAAGAACCCTCCCAGTTTCATGATTCCACATCTGTGGAATTTTTCTAAAATCATCATCATTGTGTTAGCCTCCTGTCCTGGAAGCTCTCATCCTCAGGACTTTGACTCCACATTCTCCAGAATGTTCTAGGAAAGGGTGTGCCATCTTTTGAGTTTCCGAAGGACCCTCCACAAGAGTGAAGGGGGGTGGATAACAATTTTGGAAAGAGAACCAAGGCAGGAGAAGCAAAAGAAGAATCTTTCCTGAAGTGACTGACCTCTCTTAGCCTTTTAATCTATTTAACATCCTAAGCCCACACTGACGTGTAGAAATAAGTAAATGACACTCTTCAGTTCTTAAGAGCTCTTCAGCATCAAATATTTGCTTTTACTCTTAGTATTTGGCTCCCAAAGAGGAGATATATCCCCCATCTTGCAGCTGTACTCTGGGGAGGACCTGGCTCTGAGATTAGCTCCAGATATTACTTTTAGCCTCACCTTCTCTGACCTGGAAACAGTGTTCTCAGGCCCCAATCTTGTGTCTTGAATATCCCAGGGAAACTCTGTCACTTCTGCTTCTAGAAAGTGCTGCAACTTCCCTGCTTCTTCTGGGTTCTCCCCTCTTTCATAGGTGCCTTCGTGCTAGTCCAGTCTTCTCTCTGCTTTGGGTTTTTATCTAAATTATCTCCAAGAGTCAGGACCTGGGGGCTCGAAGAGGTTGTTTCATTTAAACTGTGCCTTCTGAAGAAGTGGAGGGAAGGGGGGGAGAGCCAGAGTTATTAGAGTTTATCTTCACAGCAGATAAACCCGAAGATATTGAAGGAGAAAATGATTTTGATAGTGGGACAATAGAGAAAAGTAGTCAAGATATTAAGTTTCATACACATTGGAACTATCTATATAAATTGCCTCCATAAAAGATTCTTAGAATCACAAGTATCTAACTGAATAGTCTTTCTAGATATTAAAATATTGTTCAGTGTGTTCTATTATTTAATTAGATAATTTACTTTCCTTGTAATTGGAGGTAGTTCATCTCGATTCCAGTAAGAGTTTTTCATCTTGAGGCATCTATGCTATAGACAATTTATTTACGCAGTCTGCACTAATCATCCCTTCAAATGTATCTGACATGAGCATCACCGCTGCGTGCTTAAGAATTTAAGACCAGAAATTTCTGAAATGAAACTTAAGTATCTTGATTTTCACAAAATGATTACATCTATATCTTGCGTTCTGTTTTTAAATCCTTCCATTTTGGTTAAGTGTTCCACAAGATCCTGTGAATCTATCCAGTGGTGAAGAGAGACAACATTGCAAATTCCCCTTGATAGAGGGAGGGCCCTCCACTGCCAGGACATTTTTCTTCGCCTCATAGCAACTTCCCCTTTTTATCGGTATTCTGGTTAAAACAGCAAGAGGAAAATAAAAATGGGCTTTTGACATTTCTAAGAAGAAGTGAATGATCTTGATTGGCTTTAGGAGGGAAAGAAAAGGCAGCATTTAAAATCAGACCTCTTTGCCTTTCCTTCTGAAAACCAGTTGCCATGAATAAGTAAACATTTCCCTTTTAATGGTTAATAATCAATTGCTTAGCGGTGGTCCAGGCCTGGCTGCAATTCTGTCTTATTTGTACTGATGATATACACACAGGACAAGGAACACCAATTACTTTCAGACTGGAATTTAGTACATCTTTGAAATGGGCTCTAGATTTTATTGTTTAATGTCAAATGATAGATTTTGAAAGATCCCACCTTAAGTTCTTTAAAACGCTGACTTTAAATGGACTTTTGGTGGTGGTTCTTGATCTCTAGGAAACATTTTTTCCTCTAAATATGTTAATCTAGTTGTTTAGGTAGATACATGAAAAAAATAGGGGGTAAAATGGTTCAATGAATTAAAAAGTAAATGTATTTAATTAAATATCTGAGTCTCCATTTTTTCAAAATACAGCCAGTAACTCTGCTATTTTTTAATTAGTTTATTCATGTATTACATATTTCTGATCTTCCCCCTATTTCCAGTGGTATAATAAGGGGGGCTGTGAAGGCATGGAATGGGAGTTGTCAGAATAAGCATAATGACCCACCTTGGGGAGGGTGCCAAATCATACCAGAGCTGAACTTCTCATTTTTGTCTCATCTTTTGTTTTTAAGGTACCAATTCATATTCCTTTGCTTGACTGATAGAAATAGAATTTACGTAACACAGGATCTTTATTGACATTTACACAGGAAATGTTCAGGCCCTAAGTCAGATTTCATGTCCTGTACAGACACTGACAGAGTAGCCGGGCCCGGAGCACATTGTTGGTACTCACCCCAGCACCGCCCCGGGCCTGTCTACAACAGAGACTTATAACCAGCAGCACGGCAACTCAAGCCAGTTATTTTTTTTTAAATCACCCCAAATGAGCATCCCCCCCCTTTTTTTATATACCTTTACTTTGCTTGAGATTAACTTTGGAATTTTAAAAGGGTTGCATTGTTAAAGTGAGATATTAT